TGGCCACCTCATTTGTCCCTATCTCCCTATCCTCTCTTCACTAAAGTCCTTTCTTATAACAAATGCCCAGGCAGAGGGCTGTGCAGGGGCTATGAGAGTAGCAGTGTCGTGTGCCTTTGCCTAGAAGAACAGAATGAGGGAGGGAAAAGTTGTAATGGAAGACTCACAAGAGCGATGATGCCTGCCTTGACTTGAATTGTGAACACTGAAGGGGAGAGAGAAGAATATTAGGCAAATGGATTGTACAAGCTGTCAGGTAGATGGACATATCAAGCCAAAGGGGTTAGCAGGACTGAAGCATAAATAGCTTTTTATGGCCTAGAAGGACTGTAGGCCACTAGAAGAATCACTAAAGGACTGTACGCAAGAGAGAGGCATAGTCAGGTTTCTATTTCAAAGGCATCACTCTACCATGACTGTGAGTTTAACTAAGAGAAAGGATGGATAAGGAGGCAGTCAGGAGGCTAGTGCATGGTCAAACCAAAAAGGTACTGGCTAACTAAAAGTAATGGAAGCCAGCATAGAGAAGAAGCACATATTCTAAACATAGCTGATAGGTTTTGGACAAAAAGACAAAGAAGAAAGTCCAAAATTTCTAGCTCAGGAAACTAAGTGGTTAATGAATAATTTTTCAAGATAAGGAATAAAGGAAGAGAGAGGCTTAGAGGAGTACCTAATTCATTCTGAATATGTCCAGGGTGTGATATATGTGAGACATCCAGATGGAGACATCAAGGGTGCCGAAAGAAACCCAGGCTTCTCACGTAGAGGGGATATAAGACTGGCAGTCGGTGGGGTACTAACGCCCTTGACACTGGTGTATGGGTAAGACAACCAAAGGGAAGGAGTATGAAGGGCAAGAGAATCAAGAACACACCCTGGAAAGAAATAGTTATGAGGCCAGGAAAGAATAAAAAGTGAGCCACAGACACTGGGTAGAATCTTTTATGAAAGAACTTAACAAGATATTAGTTTTCAGTTTAAAGATCTACTCATCTCTCCCAGGTGACTTTGATATGATTTCCAGTTTCTTAGGAGCAGCAATAAATATCTTTATCACATGCAGTATCTGCTTTAGAATTAGGCTACAACCAGACAGAAACAAAGATAGTACTATAACTAGACAGGAGACAATGACTATGGCTACATTTAGGATACTGAGTCAAATCAATGTTAATTGTAGCCCCTCAATTTCTTATTTAATGTATTATATGGAATGAATTATATAAATCTTACAAGGCATTCAGAATACAGCAATGGAGTGATCACTAGGTGAATATAGTCTTATGAAGACAGAAGGAAAGAGTTGCAAAATCTCTCTCTCTGCTAAGGGCCCCCACCCAGAGGAAGCCAACTTCACACAACTGCCCAGGTTCTGGTGTCAAGGGTTGATTCCTAGCCAGAGGTTACCAGCTGCAGAGGGCGGGGCTCTATTTTGGGCTGCATGCTGTCCCTGAGCCTAGCCATGTCTGGTTTGAGCAGCATGCAGCCCCAGTGACTCACACACCCATGCAAACCGCCTGTGGCTCAGTGGCATGGCCTCGGAATGCCAGCCTTAGGCCAGCTCCCTCCTCACCCCATTACACTGGGATAAATAAATAAAGAGTCTGCCAGCAGCCACATAGCCTGATAGCAACCAGATGGAGAGCGAGGGGCCTGGGCAGGGCCAAGGGCAGGAACTCCCTCCAGTGGACTTGACTGAGAGTGGGCTATGCCCATCATCCTAAACTTCCTCTTTGGCACAGTTCCTACTGCCAGTCATAGCAGTCCCCAGCCCCTGGACCCCCCACCCCTGCTTCTAAAGGAGTCCCTCAGCCCCTGATCCCAGGAAATCCTCTGAGGGGAACCCTGCCTTCTGTGAGATCATGCAAACAGCCACCCTGCCCAGCCTTGAGTTGAATCAACATTGCCAGTATTCCTCCTCTACTTAGGCCACTATTGATTGCCTCTTTGGGTTTCTTACAAATGAAAAATCAGAGATTCTTATGAAGAGAAGAAAAAAAAAAAAGGACTAAATATGGGGAAGTAAGCCTTGTTCAACTCTGAAATATTTTTCTTAGCCTTAGTATCTTAGATGCCCCCCCACTACCCCTGTGCCCTATGTGTATGGCCTCCTGCCTAGCAATATGCCTAATAAGACTAGGAAAAGTGACCCCAGGCACTGACCGCATGGCCCTCTGACATTGGTCTGGCCTCTCTTCGTCTTCATCCCAAGCTCTCCCCATGGTTTGTTTATCTTCCTATCCCATGTTGCTTATTTTGATGGAACATCCTCTCATTCCAGTCTTGGGTGACCCCATGACCCTTCTATGTCCTGTTTGTAGGACCCCAGGCAAGCACAGTAACTGCAAAGCAGTATAAGAAACTCTGCAGTCCCAGTAGGAGACCTTTCAGTCACAGTAGCTATCCAGGTCATACCTGAGGACCATACAGTGACCCTAGAAGCCATAAGAATTTGCATTATTCCTACCCTTAAGTCTCCCCCATTGGTGTATATAATCAACTGAAGCAGTAAAGCAAAACAAGAATGATTTCTAGACTGTAAATTAAGGAATGTGGACGGCTGGGGAGATAGCTCAGTGGCTTAAGCGCATGCCTGGCAAGTACAAGGTCCTGAGTCCAATCCCTGGAATGAAAAAGAAAATAGAAAGAAAAGAAAAGAAGGAAATCCTTTCTATATATTATAAAACTCTACACTCAGAAACTGGAGGAGCAGAGCTCTTGAAGTAATTCCAAAACACCAAGATCCACCCTCCACTAGCACCTGTGTTCTACACACCTTCTCATTCCATTCTTCAGGGTTCTCTCCTCCCAATAGCATGAAGATGAGTCTCCCATTTCACAAATGAGAAATTTCTCTGAGAGAAGTGATTTGTCCAAAGCGGCAAAATAAACCATGACAATAAGAAGTCCTTGAATATAGGTCTAACAAGCAACAGTTTAACAAGCCACATTACCACAATTTTCAAAAAACTATCCTAGACAGATTTATCAAAATATTCATGCATATACTTACTGAGAGCTTACCTCTTCTAAGCACTCAGGTCCATGCTGGGGATACAGAAATGCATTTAACATATTCCTTGCTCCCTAAGAGTCCATAGATCAGTGTAAAAAAAAAAAAAGGTATGATCTTACACATATATAAACAGTATACCACAGTGTCTCAAGTGATAAAACAGAGGTATAAACCAATTATAATAGCAGGGGAGGATTATCTTTACGAGGAAAGTCGAGAAAGCTCTCCCAAAGAAACTAAAGCTTATGTTACAAGACAAATAGAAGCAAGTGCAGTGGTATACGCCTATAATCCCAGCTACTTAGCAGACTGAGGCAGGAGGACCCCAAGTTTGAGTCCAGCCTGGGAAACTTATTGAAACCATGTCACAAAATAGATAAAAAGTAGAAAGGGCTGGAAATGTAGCTCAGCACTTCCTGAGTTAAACCCCCAGGACCTTGCAAAAAAAAAAAAAAAGTTTACAAGGTAGATAAGGCCAGGGCTTTGGGCACTCTAGATAAAGGGAAGAATGTATACAATGACATAAAAGCAAGAGAAAACAGCTTTGGGGAAATTAGAAGTCGTTTCTCGTAGTGGAAACAGAAAGACACAAGAGTCAAAGGTCCAGAAGGGAAGGGAAGTGAATGGAAACCATATAGGTAGGAGGTGCTCAATCAGCAGAGATGGGTGAGAATTAGCCTTGCCCTGCTTTAACAAAAGGTCTGAGGCAGGGCACCAGTACCTGCCTGGGCTGCTGTGTTTCCTTCCCTTAAGGCTGAAATTAGAGATGGAAGAGCCATGGCAGAGAAAAGTATCACAACTGGGACTGCTTCAGGACCTATGAATACATGCTTCCTTCTCCAGAATCACACCTGCTTCAGTACATGAACTGAGCACTCACCTCACATACATTGCAATTAACAGTAAGGCCCTGGCTACTAGGGCTCAATGCAGACACAGAAGTTTTCCAAGCCAAGAATGCCTGCTTTATGCCTAACTCTGGGAAACTGCTGGTCTGGCGTACAAAGATGGCACAAAACACAAAGCCTCCATGAGAGTCTTCAAACAAGTATAGAGGGCAAGACAAAAATACAAATATTCTCTAAAGATGGTGCCCACCTGTGATCCTAGCACTTGGAAGGCTGAGGCAGGAGGACTGGCATGCAAAATCTTGTCTCAAGGAAATAAAAAACAACCCAGGCATGGTGGTATGTGCCTATAATCCCAGCACTTGGGAGGCTAAGGTAGGATGATCGCTGTGAATTTGAGGCCAGCCTGTACTACATAAGCAAGTTCAAGACCACGCTGAACTACATAGTGAGACCCAGTCTCAAAAATAAATAAATAAATAAATAAATAAATAAATAAATAAATATCACAAATGAAAGAACTATAAATAATCTATATATAACACAATATCATAATAGCATCATTTACTTACATAACGAAGTACCAACTTGGACAACATGTATAATTAGAAAATGGAGCAATAATACTAAGGTACTAACTATATAACCAACAAGTCCCAGAAGAGGTAGAGAAGGCAAATATCAATATTGACTGGTATTATCAAAGGTCACTATTATTAATACTCCTACTTTTTGGCTTCAATAGATATTTCTGTTGGCCAAGTTCAGTCCTTAGAAGGGAAACCTAGGCAGAAGCTTCTGACAGGCCACAATTATCTACTCCTCATTCATTCCTCTGCCAGTCCCCTTGCATAAACACTGTGATTTTCCACAGCCTGTGGTGCCCACAAGACAGTCCCCAAATGGTAGCCTGGGGTTTTTACCTTCCTCTGCACTGGATGCTGAAGGGACTCTCTCCCACTTCCCTCCCCTGTTTGCCTTGTATCTCAAGTTTTATCAGGTTTTCTATAAGCAGCTTTCTCAAAGAACTTTACAACCATACAAGTCACTTAACACCCAAAATGAGAGCCACCACGCAGGTGCTTTGAGTGCTCAAGTTTGTAGAAGGGGAAAAGAAATAATAAATACATTACCTCTACCAAAAACCTGTCCAAGAAAGAATTTTCCTCAAATGGTTCCGTCTTCAATCGACCTGTAATAAGAAGGGATGGAGAAGATATGAGTCTGAAGATGAGCTTCCTACCTATGAGATTAAAGGGGGCAGAGCCGAGGATTTCTTGAAGAGTAGAAAGATGCAACATGCACACAGCCCTAGACTCATGGGAGAAGAAAACCTGAAGGAATGTGGTCAAATAGGAGGAGAAAAGGTCAGTTGGCAACAAATGGTAGGTTCAGGGTACCATCTGTTGTAAGTGATTTTCCTGCCACAAAGATAAAGGTCAAAAGGAATTTTTAGCCTCAAGTTAGAGCTATGCAGTTTTATAAACTCCCAAGTTCATGTTGCCCTAGTACAATTTAGTATAGCTGTTGGCCCTTTTCCAGTCTTTCCTTGTCATTGCCTAGGACATGTCTGGACTTGGTTATAGCTTCTACTGACCACTTGAGCCCTGGCCAGGTACTCCAGGCAGAGAGAAGTGGCATTTAGAATCCAGCCTCCAGTTCCTGGTCAGCACCCAGCACCCACTCTGGGGGAAGCACTCTACAAATGCAAATGAGCCTCCAGCTTTTCTAACTGTTCCCCTCCTCACACAACTCCCCCAAGAATGTCCCCTCACCTCTGCTCAGTGTAGCCCCACTCTCCTGGTAGTCCTGGATCTCTAGATCTTTCATTCGAAGCAGTGTTGCTAGCTCCCTCACGTGGCATTGCAATGCCAAACTCATGCCCATCAGGGGACGAATCAAATGTTGGGAGACCTTCCATGGAAAAGAGATTTCAGTTAGCCAAAAGACAAGATTCTCATAATCCCCAATCCTGCATTAGATACTATGAAAAAAAGTACTAAAGAATAATTGTTTTCACAAGAACTTAACAGTTTTACTGGCAAGCAGTCCATTCATACAAACATAAATTCAAATGTAATCATTAAGTATATTAAAGAGACTCAAAGGTTTTCTGTGTGGCCTAGAGAAGGCGATAACTTAGAGTTGTGATTTAAAGAGAAGGAAGTGATATCGTTGAGAAGAGGAAAATGTTGGTTCAACTTTCAGCAGAGGCTCAGAGATAAAAAGCAGACCTAAGTAACCTTTGAGAAAGGTACAGCTAAACCTGAATATGCCACCAGGAGTATAGAAGGAAGGAAGAAGTCAACAGAAAGTAGTTTTGGAAGTCAAATTAGACCCAGACATTTACTAAGAGCCATTTCAGAGCTGATGATACCCCAAATGAACCAACATTTTCCTCTTCTCAACAATATCACTTCTTTCTCTTTAAATCACATTTCAGAGCTGATGATATCCCAAATGAGCCCCGAGATTCAACTTCTCCCACAAATGTGGCAAAGACTAACTTAGAAAGAAATAAAGCAGCCCCCCCATCCAAACCTTACTTATAACAAGCAGTAAGAATACAAGCAGATAAACTTTATTTAAACAATTAAATGCCAATATCTTGTACTCTGAGTATCTAATTTAAAGATAACAATATGCAATGCAGTGCTAGCTTTGGCAGCACATATACTAAAATTGGAACGATACAGAGAAGATTAGCATGACCTCTACGCAAGGATGACATGCAAATTCGTGAAGTGTTCCATATTTTTAAGATGAAGTATATCCGACCACATTAATCTTCTTAGAAGAGTTATAAACATGAAATTTAGGGTAGACAAACAGGTTTTTGGTGCCATTCAAGAATGACAAAATTTATTTTGAAGTATTGTTTTTATAATTGTTAGTTTACTTAATTTCAAATTTGGGGAATGTTTTGTTATTTGTGACATTTTCAATGCACATTGTAAATAAAATATATTGAAGACATGAATTTTAATGATGAGACTATAATAAATATTTAGTGTCACTACTGTGTGCAAAATAAAAATGAAGATAGAAATTGATGGATAAAGATTGACAAAAAATATGCAATGTATTAACTATTGCTATTGTCCTATCTTGTTTTGAAATTCTGGGTTTTTTTCTCTTAAAAAAATAATAACAGTAGAAAAAGAATACAAGCAGAGCCATTCTGCAGAGCAGTTAAGGCAGTACTATCATAGACAAGGAATAATCATTTCATTCACCTATGTAATGCATCCATCAGCCTAGCAAAGAAAATCACTAAAACCAAAACTTGTTTGTGGCTAGGGGATATTATCAAAACTCCTTTTCCTTCCCTCAAGGAGATGAACTAAAGAAATCAGGGTCAGCAGGCTTTCTTCAGAACAAGTCAGAAAGTCAGTATTTTCAGCTCTGTGGCCCATGGAGTCCCTGCTGCAACTACTCAACTTTGCTCTTGTGGCATGCAAAGGCAGCCACAGACAATATGTAAACAAATGAGGTGGCTGCATTCCAATACAACTTTACAAAAACAGGCAGTGAGCCAGATGTGGCCCGCTGGCCATAGAATGCCAACCCCTGCCCTAGATCAAAAAAGGAGCACTTTAGACAAGACATCCCAAGGGATTTGAAATAAGGGACCAAAATGTTCCATTCAAGATATATAAGTCACACTCATCTGGATCAGGATCAGAAGTTTGGACCTCCTTAGATCTCATGCTTTCATTTTAAAAATTAATTTCCTAGGTAAAAGTTATCACTAAAACCCTTCTTGTGTATGACTCAAATTATGAGGAAAACACTTTTTTTCCACATTTATCTAGAAAAATCTAGATGTAAGGAGGTGGGCTGAGAGATGGGCTAGTGCCAACAACTCTTGTAGCAGCACCAGCACCTAAGAAACACAGGGTGCTAGCACAGAGTAGAAGACCAAAAGTGAGGTCAAGGAGTAGACTCCTCTCACTTCTTTCTGTCACACAGCGTATCTCAATCTCGAACTATCCTGACACAGTTCCAGGACTAGATTCCCAGGACAGACAGCAAAAGAGGAAGCAACACAATTTGACCCAAACCTACAGGGGGCTCCTATGTTCTCTGAGACCCCTGTACTCAAAGAGCTACAACAGTTAAAGGGTCAGAAAATATTATGGATAAAGAAGCAGACATTTTCTATCTTTTCCAAAGGAAACACTCACAACTTCTCCCCAAATTTCTTGATTGCCCACAGAAATGTTCACATGTCCCAGGCAGGAAAGAGAACTCTTAGTTATCAACCCCCAGATGAATTATATCCGCTCACACAGTGAAATAGGCAATGGACCTGGATTAAGTGACAGATTTGAGTCCTGGCTCTGGCAGCATCTTTTTTTTTTTTTTTTTTTTTTTTTTTTTTTTTTTTTTTTTTTTTTTTTTTTTTTTTTTTGTCTTTTTGAGATAGATTCTCATTATGCAATTCAGGCTGGCCTGGAGCCTACTTTATATCCCAGCCTGGCCTTGAACTCACAACAATCCTCTTGCCTTAGCTTCCCAAGTGCTGGGATTACAGGTGTGCACCACAGTCCTTTTCTTCTTCAAAAAGAAATAGTAGGGAGCTGGAGGGTTGCAATCCCACTATAATCATAATGTAATGTTACAAATATTCTTAATACTCACACGTTCATAGTAAGGTTGTAAGTGGTATCTCCATTTCACAGGTGAAGAAACTGAATAATAAAATTTCCATACCTATCCAAAACAGTAAAAGTCTGAAAGTGGAGGGGCTAATTACAAAATCAAGTCTGCTGGTTCCAAGCTGGTGAACATTCTACCGCTAAGAAATCTGGGATATAATTCTTAGCTATCAAAAAGTAGACAACAGAGTGACAAATTTAAAGTCGAAATATAGAAATATCAAAAATTAAAGTAGTGGGGCCAGGGAGATGGCTCAGTGGAATACGTGCTTGCCTGGCAAGCGCAGGGGCCTGAGTTCAATCCCCGGTTCTTGAAAAAAAAAAAAAAAAAAAAAAAAAAATTGAAGCAGATACTAGAAAGATCACATAATAGAAAGACTAGATGAGGAGAAGTCAAGATGAGCTCAGAGTTATAAAACAGACACCCCCCCCCACTCCCCAGCACTCAGAAGCCTGAGGCAAGAGGATCACAAAAGTTTGAGGCCTGCCTAGACTCTACAGTAAAACCCTGTCTCAAAAACACCGAACAAAAAGAGCAGAGACCTAGAAACGCAAAGTCTTACACATTTCTTAGTTTGTTTGGTACTGGGAATGGAACTCAAAACTTCACACTTGCCAGGCAAGTGCTGTGCCACTGAGCTATATCCCCAGCCCTATACATTTCTTAATATCCTGCAGAGACCTAACCATTAAATTTGGAGTAGGAACACATTATGTGGTAGTAGCTGCAGGGAAATAGATATTTTCCTATTTACCTTTATTGAGTTAAGCTGCAAATGTCCCTGAAGACAATTTAGTATGAGTAAATGGATTAAAGACACAAATACTTATTGTCCTAGGTATTTATTTCCAGAAATTTATTCATACATTTACACATAGTAGAAATGATTACCACAGTAATCACTGTTTAGCACACAACGAAGTAGAACAATTAAATACATATTAATACAACTATTATGTAAATGCCACACTGCTGCTAAAATTATAAAGGTAAGTCTTCTAAATACACTAATATAAATGATCTCTAAATTCTGTAAGTAGAAAAGTCAAGACACTGAGCAGTGGGTACAGCATGACACCATGTGTAAACATATGTACATATATACAGATAAGTATTTGATTGTCTGAGTTTATACCCAAGTCACACTTTCTTATTTTGGGGTTTTTTGAGACAGGGTTTCACTATGTAGTTCAGACTGGTCTTAAGCTCACTTTGTAGTCCTGTCTGGCCTCAAACTAATAGCAACCCTCCTGCCTCAGTCTCCTGAGTGCTGGGATTACAGGTACTAAGCCAGCCTCCAAAGTCACACATAAGCACACTCTATATGTACCTTTTCTTAAGAAGTCACACGGGCTGGTGAGCTGGCTCAGTGGTCTAAAGCACCTACTTAGAACAAGCTTAGCAAAGCACAGGGACCATGGTTCAATCCCCCAGCACCACATGTCAGCCAACTCCGCACCCTGGTGGGCTGAGCTGGCCACACACACACACACACACACACACACACACAAATAAATAAGTAAAATTTTTAAAAAAAGAAGTCACACAAAGCAGTTATCACAGATTGCTTTAGAGAAGGAAAATGAAAGACTAGAAAAGGAAGAAAAAAGATCTTTTTTTATTTTCACTGTATATCTTTAAATGTTGTCTGAAATGTTTGCTTTGGGCAGGAATGGCCCCATTCAGAAAAAAAAAAAGTAAATGAAAACTATCACAGGAATGAGAAATAAACAAAAATTATAACAGTGTGACTTCACAGATGCACACACAAGCTGAAATAGTATCCACCTACATCCTCGCCAGTGTTCAGGGCTCTAACTTTTTCCCGCAAGGCTTCCTTGGGTTTGGGGTTTCCCTGGCATGACAGTCCTCCTTTTCCTTTTTTAATGGTAAGTATTTTAAGACTGGGTATGGTGGCGTAAGCCTGTAGTCCCAGCACTTGGGAGGCTAAGGCAGGAGGATCATTGTGAGTTCAAAACCAACCTGAGCTACAAAGTGAGCTCAAGGCCAGCCTGAACTACATAGTGAGGACCTGTCTCAAAAAGACTAAATAAATAAGTACTTTATTTTAACTTAAAGGACAGTAGTTCATCAGCTGTTCAAGCCAATGTCTTCCCACAGCCAATCAAAACTCATCCTTCTCTAAATACTTTTGCATCCTTCTTTATTATGGCTCCTCACTTAGAAGACTATGCCAGAAAAGCTAGTATTTTTTTACATTTTTCTTCAATTACAACATTACTATACATCCAGGTATGGTGGCACATGTCTACAGTCCCAGCACTTGGATGGCTCAGGCAGGAGGAATGACGTGAGTTTAAAGCTAGCCTGAACTATATAGTGAGGCCTTGTCTCAAAAACAATAAATAAAATCATACTATTATTTTACAAAAAATATGATTATGCAAGTGATCTTCACTGTATTTCTTTTTCTGGTGCTGGGGATCAATCCCAGGGCCTGGCACACACTAGCCAAGTACTCTATACTTAGGGCACTCCAAGACACTAGTATTTTTTTAAAAGAAGAAATTTTAGAGCCTATCAGACCCATGACAGCTGCCCAGTCACAGTATTGGGAATTTGTAGAGTTGTATAATGCAAAATGAGACTATCACCAGAAATTCCCAAAAGGTACCCAAGTTTTCAGCTCAGAATAAACATTACTAGGGTAATAGTGCCCCCTGGTGTCACTTTAAAAAAGTCTTAGGGTTTCGGATGAGTCTATCAAAAGCAGGAAGTTTTTTGTTTTTTTTTTTCTTCATGATCAGGCATTGAACTCAGGACCCTGCGCTTGCCAGGCAAGCACTTATTCTACTGAGCTATCTCCCTGGCCCCTAACGATATCAGATGGTGTCTTTCTTAGCTTCCACCTTGAGTGAAAGAATTCAGGATGAAGATTTTTGATAAATCAATTAAAATCAACGAATGTGAGTGATGATTGTATGTTAAGCACCTGTCAGTGGGCCTTTGGAATTCATGAGAAGCAGTTCCTCCAGCATTCCAGGCTACTTTTACAAAGTTCCAGATAAAAACTAAACATCAGTAAGTAGTTTCTCAACAGGTCCTTTGTCCTGTTCTTTTTGTAGAGATGTCAAAGCACCACACCCAGCTAAAGACAGGATCTGGGTCACTTTCTATAGATCTCTCTGCTGATAAAACCACACTCCTGGGTTCCCACAGGGGCCCCTTGTTTCTAAGTGTTACAAACTGAAACCAGCCCTACCTGTCAACTACCTCTCAATGCCCACTCTTCCTTTCTAATATAAGCACTTGGGCACTAAAGCTATAAGTGAGAAGAAGGCACGATCTTCCTAACCCCTGAGAGTGTGATTTCAGACTAGGCCAAGCCAGAGGTCAAATTCAGCTCATTCATTTATAAACAGGACAACCATGGACAGAGCTATCACCAACTTAAGTCTCCTGCTCTGAAGAGTGAGGGTAATAATATATATCGTTCAGGAAAGTCCAAGGACCACAAGATGAGGCGATGCTCAGAGTCACTGGTACATAACCTACCCTCTTGCTGGAGTGTTTTTTTCTTTCTGGTTTTTCTTTTTCCATGTTTTTGATAAGCACAAACTGGATCATGTTAAACCCTTGCTTTAAATTTTTCAACAAATCTCTATTGCTTATGAGACAAAATTCAAATTCATTGAGTCCTTCATGACTTGACCACTGCCTGCCTCATCTCTTGCATCTTCCTCTCCATCCTACAGTCATGAAGTTTCTGAACTTGTCCCACACTTAATGCATCTCCACACTCTCTGCCTACAATGATTCTTCTCTTTATTTTCTTCCTACTACTTTCTATTTATTGTCACAATTCAGCTCAGAAATTCTTTCCTCAAGCAAAGTATGGTGCTATATGCCTATAATCCTAGCACTCAGAAGGCTAGACAGGAGTACAAGTTTGAGGTCAGCCTGGGCTACACAGTGAGACTGTCTCAAAAGAGAGAGGGAGAGGAAAGGAGGAGGGGGAGGAGGAAAAGGGGGAGAAAAAGGGGGAAGGACAGGGGAGAAGGAGGGAGAAGGAGAGGGAAAGAAAAAAAGAAGGAAAGAAAGTCTCTTAAAGAGATTTTCTGTTCCTCTAGCCACCCTCGGCCTGCCTCGGGGAAAGAACTTATCACACTATACCAGAATTTCCTATCTGTCATCTTACTAGGTTATAAACTCCAGGAAGAGACCATATTATTTCTTCTCAGGATGCCAAATAATTAGCATATAAGTAATGCTTATAAATGTTTAGTAAATAAACATTTAGTAAATAAATTAATGAATAAAGTCATCTAACAAAGTATGTAGGTTCAAACTCTGCTGCCTTTGCAAAGCAAGGATATACCAGCCAAGAATCCTTTTTGCCTCCTATCTAGTTAATGGCAGTTTCCTGATTGGACAAGAATTGTAAATAGGCCTCACAAACTATAATAGCACCTAAAACTTCATCTCAAGTAGCTATTCCCCCCTCTATCTGAACTGCACTTACCAGGGAAGGACTAGCCAGGCTGCAGTGAAAACGCCAATAGAAGGGGAGGCCAGAGAGCTCGCTCCGCACTCGGAGAATCAGTGCCTCTGCCCCATGATCACAGGAGAAAGCAGCTTCATCAGGTTGGGCACCATCTTTCAACAACGGTTGAAGCAGATTATCCAAATGACAGAGAAAAGCCGCAGGGGGTGCAGTCAGGCGCTTATTCAGCTCCTAAAGAGAACATTTATACTGAATGAGGGTTCTAAAACAGACTCCTTGTGAGCAACAGCAAGGGGAGGTTCTGGCTAACATGGACATGAGAGGATGAGAGAGAGAAAGAAAACATGGGAACAAAAAAGAACACAGAAAGGAATCACAGAGATAAGTCAGTTGGCCTACTTCACAATTCCAGCTTGGTAAGATCAATTTACAGGTTTGTAGAGTTCAAATAATAAAGCTCACATTGTCAAACATATAGAAAGACATACACACACACACACACACACACACACACACACACACACACACAATCTCTCACACATGCACTAGAAAAGATTCCAAGACTGAAAGTATAAGTGTAAGACATCTTATACTTACAGGCTGAATACCCCCTATCTGAGATACTTGGGACCAAAGTACTTTGGATTTCAGAGTTTCCTGGATTTTGAAGTATATGTACAGACTGTACCCACTGAGCAACCTTAATCCCAAAATCTAAAACCTGAATGCTCTAAAATTTGAAACTTTTTGAGTGCTAAAGCTTACAAATTTTCCATTTTGGAACATATTTTGAATTTCAGGTTTTCATATTAGAAATATTCAACCTACAACTGTAATTGTGCCAGTCCAATCCCAGCTTTCCTTGCCAATTTACAGGCAATCAAGCCAGATAATGTTAATGCTCCTGACCTCTGCTTCGAAGGAATCTTACCCCACTCCAGCCCAGAGCGCTACTTCTCTTCACACTTACCTTGGCTCGCTGGCTCACCTCACTAGTATCCATTTGCTCATGCCACACCTGCTGAAGATTTGAAACCAGCAAGGCATAGCCCTGCTTGGTGATATAAGCCTTGGCCAAGAGGGAGTTCTCAGTGAGCTGTAGCCATGCCCATGGCTGCTGCAACAGGCCTTGCTCCAGCTCCTCCATCTGCAGGAAAGGTTTAATTTAGCCAATTGTCTTCAGGACAACAGGCCTGTGAGGGCATCACCCAAACAACCCTATAGCAACTAAGATCTTGTGAAAATCCTCCTAAATAACATAGATGGTGTGGACTCATAGTCTCCCCTTTAGCCAACCAGTTGAGCATCAGTTTGGGCCACTCATTTTTTTTCTACATTAAGAGTAAATAAAATATCTCTTTTGGCAGGGCATGTGGTGGTACATGCCTATGCCAGTACTCTGGGAGGTTGAAATAAAAGGATAAGAAGTTTGAGCCCAGCCCAGGTATCTTACTGAGACTGTGCCTCAAAATAGAAAAATAAGAAAGAGGGCTGGGGATGTAGCTTAGTGTTAAGGCCTTAGATTTAACCTCCAGTGATAAGAGACGGAGGGAAGGGAGAAAGGAGGAGGTAGAAAATAGGAGGGAAGAGGGGAGGTAAGAAAGGACAGGACAGAACAGGACAGGATAGGACAGGATAGGACAGGATAGGACAGGTCAGGACAGAAGAGAAATTACCTTTCTCCTACAGTGTTTAAGCCTTAGCATATTTCTGGTTTTTGTTTTATTTTTCTTCTTTTTGGTATTTAGGACAGGGTCTACAGGATCTACAGGATTTACAGAGTTTCACTACATAGATCGGACTCACTACATAGATAGGACTCCTCCTGTTTTCAGCCTCCCAAGTGCTGAGATTACAGGCACATGCCACCACACCCAGTCTCAACTGCCTTCTCAGCATGTCCCAGGAGCAGGAGCGGCACAGCACACCTGGATTGAACCCGGCCACTGTACTCTGCTGAAGCAGGCCTTTCAGTCTGCTGAGCTATCTGGCTGGCCCTATCACCAATTTTTTTTTTTTTAAATATGGACTGCTTCACGAATTTGCATGTCATCCTTGCGCAGGGGCCATGCTAATCTTCTCTGTATCGTTCCAATTTTAGTATATGTGCTGCCGAAGTGAGCACCCTATCACCAATTCTTAAGGGCAACAATGGCACACAAAAAAGTTAGTAAGTTCTGCATCCAGAAGCAAATTAAAAACTCAAATCCCTTTTCAGCAAATGACCAGAAAGTCATAAATACAAAACACTGCACATCAGAGAGGAAGAGAATTAACTTCCACTAACTCATCCTTCATGTCCCCACCTCAAGGCACAGCCACCAATGATCACATGCCCTCTGTGCAGCTAGAAACTTCTGGAACTTTCCTGCCTGAACTGCTACCCTAGGTAGCTTAATAGATATTCAATAACTATGGCTGCTTGACAAGAGAATTTTGATTATTTTTCCTGTGTTTAAAAAAAAAGTGGTAGTTTCCTTCATTATTTTAGTCAATAAATGCAAAATGAAGAGAAGTACCAAGAGGTAAAAACTTAGGATATGAAGACAATAATGAAATTAAGTCTGATTAACACAATCATTTCTAAATCAGTCCAAACCACTGTTCTTTCAACTATAATATAGTTTTCAAGATATGGCCTTGTGACATCACTTAATTTATGACTATTTTTCACTAGATAGGTGGAATATACATACAGACATGCCATATAAGAATATTTCAGCCAGTAACAAGACTACATATACAACAGTGGTCCCATAGACTATATGGCCTACTGACATCACGACCACACTCTAGTTTGCATCCACACTGTAGGGGCTCACATACTGATATCTCTCCCTTTTGTAGTCTTCCTTTGACAACTAAAAACACTGTGTCTTTGCTCATACCTAGGTGGATTAATGAGCTGGTAAAATAATTTGTCTCACCACAAGTGGAGCTGATTCAACAGCTTTATACTGAACTAAAACTTGCATGCTCACTTGATCTGGAAGCCATACAATGATGAAACATCTCCATCTTAAGCGACTCAAGACTGTACCCATGCTTGCTGTCACTTGTTGCGCCTCAAAACCTTGGTTTGGAGAGGGCATTTCTCTTACATTTCCCACACACTGTTCCTACAGAGTGGAAGGGGCAGCTAGATCAGTTTTGCCTGGACAAGAGATCTCCACGGCCAAAGATCACAGTAGTATGTGAAGCTGCCCAGCTCTTTCATTTCCCTCAGAGGCACTCTCCAGGATGCGTGGAGGGGTTTGCCATCCTGGCACCTTTTTGGAAAGTTTGAAGGGTCAGAACCTCAAATTGATGCTTTTTATTTAAAGAAAGAGGATGGTTGAAATTTTTTCCAGGGAAAAGTGGTGTGAAAGTGTCTGAAAAGCCAAGGACTGTGGCTGACACCTGTAATCCCAGCATTCTGGGAGGCTGAGGCAGGAAGTTCCCAAATTTAAGCCAAGCCTGGGATACCTCGTGACTTTATGAGACCTTGTTTTAAAATAAAAAAGAACAGGAATGTGTAGTTCAACGTTAAGGTCCTGGGCTCAATCGCCAGTACTGCAAAACTAAAAAGGCCTCAAACATTCAGCACCAGACCCAGGTTGGCTGCTCGCACCACACAAGCCCGTTTTAAATTTGAGGCCTCTAAATTTCACTTTTTCTTTTTTTTTTTTTCTTCTAAATTTCATTTTGTTCTTCAAGGCCGCCTTTAACATTCACGTTAACCACATTTACCAGTTTAAGATTCCTGAATAAACCGGCACGCGAAGGGCAACCGCAGGCAACCGCAGGCGTGGAGTCCACTGAGAACTGGTGTTTGCAGCAAGCGCCACCCCTCAGCCAGGGCCCCTCATGGTAGTTCCCCCCACCCCCTGAAGAGGGCAACAGAGCCCCAGAGACGACCAGGCCAGGCCACGCCCTGTCCCCAGGGAGAGGACGAAACTCCGGTCCCACAACTACAGCCCAACCCCGAGCTGCACCCAGCGTCATTTCCATCCGCCCTTCCTAGAAGAGCTTTGCTGTCCGCCTTTCCATTTCTACAGCACCGGCTGCACTAAGGGCGGCTGGGGTGTAACCCAGACGACCACAGCAGCACCGCTACGCCAAGGAACCCACCCAAGAAAGAGTCACAGAGAAGCCCTCGAGCGCCGCACTCTCCGGCGAGGACTGCGCACGCGCGGCCCCGCCCGCTCCGGGAGATCGGCCGGCCCCAGAGACCCCGTAGTGCGCGGTCCCTTCTGGGAGGAAATGTCGGTGCCAGCCCCAACCCGCTGGCTTCGCACAACTCCTCGCTCGGCAGGCCCTAGCCCAGGTCGCAAGCCGGACCCCACCTACCTTCAGCAGCTGAAAAAGTTCCCACCCCCCTCGCGGCAGGCCCTCCTGCTGGTGCAACCTGAAAGGCCTACAGTACAAGACGGTCCCCGCCACAGGGGCGGGGCCTTGGGCTTCAGGGGCGGGGCCCAGGCCTGCCGGGGGTGGGGCTTAGGTACCGACGGGGCTAATTGAAGGCACAGGGAGAGTAGCGAGCAGCCCCGCCCCGCAAGCTACAAAAGAGGCTGAGCGGCCCGCAGGGAAGTTGAAGGATAGGGACGTTTCCGGGAGGCACCCGACAAAGGAGAAATACCAGAGAAGGTAGTGGGTGGAGTTACCCGGGCTTGAATTTGTCAAATTACTTCTCTTCCTTCCCTAAGGCTCTAGCCTTTTCAGTGAGAGTATTGAATTTCCCTACATAATGTCTGAGGTCCTTGTCACCTCTAGAGTCGCACCTCTTTTCTCCCTCCGCGTGCCCCCGTTTTTATGATGTCACTTCTGAGACTCAAAACCCCTCAACTCTTGTAGTGAATCCCTGAACCTGAAATCTCCCCATCCATTTTCCAAACCCCCAAATCCTTCCTTGTCAAGGCCACCCTCAATGTCGTTACTTTCATAAAGCATTTCCCACTCTCCCCAGTCAGAATGAATCGCTTCTTCCTTAGCTCTCACTGCATTATTTCCTCTTTATTACGGAATGCCTTCTGCAGTGCATTGTAGTCATTACATGGGTCTTAAAATCCTAAGTGGCTGGAAAGACAGGGATCTTGTCATATGCACATAAATAAATATGATAAGTGAGTGCTATGGCTCAAGTGGTACTGATATCCTCTCTGTCTCTCTCTCTGTCTCTCTGTCTCTCTCTCTCTCTCTCTCTCTCTCTCTCTCTCTCTCTCTCTCTCAGAAGAGCCTGGGTGCTAACTCTCCAGCAAGCAGCAAATTAGGGATACACTAATAGAGCAGAAATAAGACTCTTGGTGGTTACAGGGATCTAAGCCCCTCTCTGCTAGAGGGAGGGCAGGGCTCCTGAGAGCCAGGCAACAAGTCTGCTGTCTCTCCTGGCTCAGAGGGCCCTCCTTCATCCCCAGGGTTTTTGGGCAATGGGAAAAGGCAACGGAGGGGCCTGGGGATGCAGAAACACAGGTTTTGGATAGGGAAAGGAAGCTCATACTCTTGAACAGCCTTTTCTCTGGATTTCTGAGGCTTTTGAACCTCTTGGGCAGTCAAAGAAGATGGCAGCCCTTGACCTAAGCCTCGCTCAAGCCGTGTACCTGCAAAAGAGAAGCTAGTCAGTGTTTAACATAAGGAGTAATGACTTCCCGGCACTCCCCAGTCTGCTGGGAGCTGGCCTCAACTTACCAGAAATAGTGTTCTCTAGGACAAAGCCCAAGAGTCCAGCCATGAAGATGGGCTGTGCTAACAGTGAGCGCAGCAACAAATCCAAGGGGCTCCAGCCTACAGGGAGTTGGGGCCAAGCAGAAAGGGAGCTCTGATGCTAACTGAAACCAGGGAGTCTGTCCTACCAGACCTAAACCCAAGTCTCAGACTAAGGACAGAGCTTTCTGAGTTGTCATCTTGTCTTCCTTACCTTTGTTCCACTACTCTCCATTACACTCAAGCCCTTTCCCACGGGATTCTTCTTCAACACTCGTATCTTCTGAGCACCCACACATCCACCTGATATTCCAGTTTCCTTTTCTCTGGCATGTTTGCTATTAAAAGCCCCAATTTTGCCTGACATGGTGACATACACCTACAACCTCAGCACTCTGAAAGTCTGAGGCAGGAGGAGTCCAAGCTCAAGCCCAGACTAGGCAACTTACTCTCTGAGACCCTGTCTCAAAGAATAAAAAGGGGTGGGGATGTATTTTAGTGTGAAGGCCCTGGGTTCAATCCCTGTACCACTAAATAAAAAAAATAAAATCCCAAATTTATTTCCTCCTTAACATCTATGCTATATAGTAGGAGTCTCTCAACCTCAGTACTGTTTTGAAATTCTTTATTCTAAGGAGCTGTCTTGTGCATTACAAGATATTTAGCAACATGTCTTTATTTACTAAATGCCAATAACAATCCTCCCTTCCCTCTTTGGTGGGGGGTGCTCAGATTTTTGAGACAAGACCTTGCTATGTTCAAAGGAGCCTCAAACTTGCAGCAATCCTCCAACCTCAGCCTCTGGGTGATGTCATTACAAGCATGTGCCGCCCTGTCTGGCTTTCTTCCCTATTTGTAACCCAAAAAATGTCTTCAGACACTGCTAAATATCTCCTCTCATGGGGGCAAAAAACACATCCAGTTGAAAACTGGTCTAGACAAACTAAGGTATTTGCTGCTCCTTGGATATATCCTGTGACTTCTACATTACATATTTATAATGGTCCCTCTATCAAAAATGACTACCTTCTCATCAAAAATCTTTAAGTTGTAGGGGTTTTTATTTTATTTATTTTTGTGGTACCAGGGATTGAACTCAGGACCCTGAGCTTGCCAGGCAGGGACTTATTCTGCTAAGCTATCTCCCCGGCCCATAGATTGTTTGTTTATTTGTTTGTTGTTTTGAGACAGGGTCTCACTATGTAGTTCAGGCTGGCTTTAAACTCACTATGTAGCCCAGGATGGCCTCAAACTCATGGTGATGCTCTTTACCCCAGCCTCCTGAGTGATGGTAAATTTTGTCCTCTTAAAGGCCAGTGCAGGGCTATTAGGTCACCTCTACCAGAAGACATTTCTCTTACCAGTGAGCACCACAGCTCTTTTCTTGGTCCTCTGTTGCCATTTCCTGCATACCTCATCTCTTTTCCTGGATTGTAGTACTCAGAAGCACCCTTATATTCCAAGTAGCTAAAATGTGCTCAATAAACTTTTCTAAACAAATGATGTACTTATTTATAAGAATGCTTAGAGAAGGATGTAGTGCCAAAAAGCTGGAAGGCCTGAAGCCTCAACCCCTTGCTTTCCCATTCCTGAGCACTGCCTCCTTCCCTCTCCACTCCACCCACCTGTGTTGAGTGGGACTGGGGCTTCCCGAAGCCACCTTGGCAGCAGCAGGGCCATGAAGATGGAGAAGCCCATAATGAAGACATTTCGCCCAGAGTCAATGTCAGTCAGATGGAAGCTGGAGAAGCCAGCAGATAGAACCACAGCTTGGGTCACCCCCAGCACCCCACCTGTCTCAAACAGAAGAAATCAAGGGTGTGGGATGCAGCACAGCACAGAGGATTGCAGGGAAGGCAGACTGTGATGTAGGCTTGTTTCTGATTCTATCAGAAGCCCAGAAGCCCAGCCAAAAAGCCAAGATGCTGGCCTGAGAAAGGAGGGCAGCTGACCATGTTGATATTCTTTCATCCAAGGAGGCCCTTTAGAGAGAAAGGGTTCCTATCTAACCACACAGACCTGCTACATGGAGGTGGCGGATCTGCTGCCATACCAGTCTTGCCATATATCCACTCACCAAGCACAGACGGTGGGATGGTGGTGAAGAGCTGCACCAACCTGGGAGAGAACCCAAGCCCGATGCAGAGCAGCCCCGCCAAGTGTGCCACTCGCTGAGATCCAGCCTGTGTGAAGACAGAAAACACAGCCACCTCCCTGGGCTGTTCCAGGTCTTTGCCTGGCCAGCTGCTTGTCATCCCTTGGATCCCAATTTAAATAGTACTCTTCCAAGAAGCATGCCAGCCATTCTATCTAAAAGTGCTTCCTTTAATCATCTACTATCTCACTATTTTTGTTTTCTTAATAACACATAATCACTCTCTAAAATTACTTCTTTTCTTCCATCTGTGAAGTCCCCAAGAGAGCAGGACTCCATCTGACTCATTCTTCCCTGGAACCCCCGCCTTGGCAGAGCACCTGATGCATCTCCTCTGGGGACCTGCTGTCTTCCTAGCTTTTTTTTTTCCACCATGTCTGGGCACCTCCCCAAGTGCAATTATTGATATGAACTGCCTGCCTGACTGCTGGGCACGGCTGGCAACCAACCAGTGTGATGTCCCATCCCTCCTCTGCACCTCCATCCTGTTCCCTGCCCCAGCCCCAGGCCTATGTACCTGAAAAAGGCTCACTGTGCCCACATTAGGGAAGCTGGATGCTGTGCCCAGGGGGCTCCCCAAAAGCCCAGCCAGCACACTGCCCAGCCCCTCTAGGCTCAGCCCTCGATTGCAGGCATGTGGAGGTGGGGGAGGCCAATGCAGCAGCTGGCCACACAGAGCATAGCAGCCCAGGGAGCTGGTAGAGGCTGCCAGGGCCATGGAGAGGCCTGCAGCCAGAGCCCTGGGTGTCAACAAGGGCCAGTCCCACTCACCTGGGAAAGGAGAAAGAGCCATATGAGAAAGAGTCTGGCACTTCCTTCTGCCCCCAATGGCCTATTTCACAAGAATCCTAAAGGCCCCCAGTGCATCTGAAGATAATGACATCAGACAAAAATCCCTGGACTCTAAGGAGACATACCTATCCTATCCCTTTACCATTGTCTACAGGAGTTTCTGTGGTCTGACCCTTATTGCTTTGTCCAGTCCATCTGCCACACTACCACACTTCCCTTTAGAAATACTGGCCTTCTTTTAGGCCATGGACTTGCTGTGCTCCCAGCTGCCCCAGGACCTTTGTTGCATGTATCATTTTCCCTACCTAGAATGCTCTTCTCTCCTGCCTCCTGTCCAATTACCTCTAATCTCTCACAGCTCAGTGACTACTTTATTAGAATAACTTTCCAGCTGGTCATGATGGTACACTCCTGTAATCCCAGCACTCTGGGAGGGTAAGGAAGGAAGATCACAAGTTTGAACCCAACCTGAGCAACCTAGCCATTTAGCAAGACCCTGTCAAAAAAAAACAAAAAAAAAAAAAAAAAAAAAAAAAAAAAAAAAAAAAAAAAAAAAAAAAAAAACCAAACCCTAAAATGGGATATAGCTCACTGCAAAGGCCTTAGGTTTGATTCCCAGTCCGCCAAAACTCATTAACTAATAAATAATAGATGAGTGAACACATTTCACATGCAATACCTCAAAAGCCATCTTTCCACATATACTACCTACTGAAATTCCTATGGGGATTAGTAACATGTAAATGGAGGACCTGGAGTGTCTCAACACAGACCCAAATAAAACACCTGTGATAAGGCACTGGAATTGCCCCTCAGAGCTTGGCAATTTCTCTTTCTCTTTCGTGTGTGTGTGTGTGTGTGTGTGTGTGTGTGTGTGTGTATAAGCTAGGGTCTCAATATGCAGTTCAGACTGGCTTGAGGTCACTTGTAGCCCAGGCTGGTCTCAAATTCACAACAATCCTGCCTCAGCCTCCCAAGTTCCTATGTGTTTTAAAAAACATGGGACTGAACTCAGAAGTGAAATCCACTAAATCCATTAAGTCTTAATCTCAAAGAAATACATACCTTGATTTGGGGGAGGGCAAAAAAAAACCCTACCTGGGTGAGGCAGCCAAAACCATGGTGCCTCAGTGGTGGCAGACAGCTGCAGGGGGACAACACTGAGACCCAAGGGAACAGCAATGATCCACACACAGGCCACAGGGATCAGTACCTAAGGGGTGGGTCTGAGATGTAAAGACACCCTCCCCCAGCACGTTCCAAGCCAGGCTTGGTGGGGTAGAACCCAAAGCAGGGGCGTGGGGAGCATTCCATGCAATCCCTTCTAACCTCCAACACCCAGAATCTCACATACCGAGAGGAGCCGGAAGGCAGGGGTGTGAATGTGAGCTGAAGAGGCTGAGGATGACCTCCAAGGGCATGGGGGTATCTGGCAGGAGCCCAGGTGCTGCGAACAGATCACCATGAGCAGGAAAAACCTAGGGGAGAGAAGGAGCTTTCAGGCCAAGGGGCAGCAGAGTCCTAAGCAATAGCATTGACTGTAGGGGGTCCCAGAACCCCCCATGGCAAGGTTAGAGTGGCTCCTTGGATACAACAAAAGTGTGAATGTCAGGGAGATTATATGAATCAAGGCAAACTTGGATTCACAATCTAAAAAGTGTTACTCCTGTCCAGATGCCAGCCAAATCTAATAGGACTAGCGTTCTGCCCTCCCCCCTTCTCACACACTCCACTGGGCATGTCCCATGCCTCAAAGGACTCACGTACAGGATGGCCAGGCCCCAATGAGCAGAGCAGAACTGGGCCACCTCCCTGTGGGCAGAAAGCCCTGCCACAAACAGGCTGGGGGCCAGCACCAGGGGCCCACAGTGGGCAAACACACGGCCAGGCCCCCCCAGCAGTCCCAGCATGCCCTGCAACAGTCCAGACACCACCACTGCCCCCGAAACCTGTAGGGTAGGGGAGAAGATGGAGAGAAAACATTGTGTTCAAACTGACCTGAACCTGGACTTTCTAAGGAATTCCAAGGACAGGTCCCTGCCTAACTCCTTCCCCCAGAGCATCTCAGTCCTGGTGTTTGGAAACAAGAGCCTCCCAAGCCCACTCTGCCTGAGGCCTCCTGCTTCCAGCTGCAGGTACTTGCCTCTCGGAGAGAAGTGTTCCAGAGCTCCCGACTGTGGCAGCCAGGTTCCCTACACAGGTGCATGGTGAGGGAGGCTGGGAGAAGTTTGGTGCATGGAGAGAAGATAAATAAGATGGAGAACCATTGCATTCCAGGCCTAGCTTTGTCCCACATGGCCCCAAGACACCTATGGTGGTGCCAGGCAGTTACACCACTGCCCAACCTCAATCCTGCACCCGCCTCTGCCTGTATCCTCAGGGGAGCGCCCTAACCCTTATTCTGCCTGCTATTGCACTATATTCACCATTTCCAGGTGTCTGGATGGTCATGGGCAGCTTCTGGCTGGTCAGCAGAAGTGCAGGGATAAGGAACTCTAAGGATGGAGCCTGGACAAGAGGCAGCCTGTAGGAACAGAAGCCCCAGGAGGCCTGGAGACATGTGGCAGCCTGTGGGGCTCCCCAAACTTCTCCTCCCTATTGGGAGCCTGCACATCTCTCCAAGGAGTTCCACTCACCTGCTACCAGTCCAGGTTTGCAGGACTGTAGACAAACCACATGCAAAGAAGCTGGAGGCCAGGAGCTGAGCAGGGGAGTAAGAGAGTACTCCTGAGGGAAGACCACAAAGCAGAAGAAGGTGGAAGGCACAGAGCAGGGAAGCCAGGACCAGGAAATGCTGCAAGTAGGAGAATGGAGGAGAGTGGTCTTCAGAAACAGGCAGAAGTATCACTCGTGCCACAGAAACTTCCCCCCGCAAACATGCCCATCAGCTAGCACCAACTCTTACACCTCTGCCTCCTACCTGCAGAGCCAGAAGACAGCTGAGCCCCCAGGTGAGAGGCCCACACTGAGAGACCCAAGAGAGGGCAGGGGCATTGTGGACAGCAGGCCGCTGTGGTAAGGGAGCCAGAGCATCCTGAGAGCCCGCGGCCAGCAGCGGGATGGGATGGAGAGGTCTGCTCATGCTGCGCTGCCTTTGTCCTCTCTTGGCTACTCTGGGCTGGTTAAGTGGAGAGAGTGAGGTCAGAGTTTGGGTAAAGTTAGCTGCCCGTAGTGGGGAAGGAGTGGAGGTGTCAACGAAGCGGAGCAAGGGATGAGGGCTTGGGGGCAGGACGCAGCCCTTTCACCTTTGCCCAGCTCTAGTGGAAATTCCATCAGCCATTAACAGGGAGCTGAGTTCTGGACCCTCCCCCAAGAATCTTCATCCAGATCCCCTGGTCCTAGACCAGGCTCTGCAAAGGAAGAGGGATGCCAAGGATCCCTATCAAAATAGCATGGAGAGATTTTGTAGATTATTCCCTCCCACTACCATGTAGAACTATCCTTGCCAGTCATGGTGGTGCAAGCCTATAATCTCAGCACGTTGGGAGACTGAGGGAGGAGGATTATTGTGAGTGTGAGACAAGCCTGGGCTACAAAGTGAGCTCAAGGCCAGTCTGACCTGCAAGCAAGAGCCTGTCTCAAGAGAGAGAGAGAGAGAGAGAGAGAGAGAGAGAGAGAGAGAGAGAGAGAGAACTATCTTTATTAGGTCTACACTTCTCAACCCTTTCAGGACCCCTGCACCACTATGAAAGGAAACTCATGGATACACTCCATATCCTGCCTAACAGTGACTAAACCACATGACATATTTACTGCAATGTAAAAGAGAAAGGTAATTTTTTTTCAGTTCAATTGGGAACTGAACTCAGGACCTTGTGCTTGCCAAGCAGGCACTCATGCCGTTGAACTATATCTCCAGCAAAATAAAGGTAATTTATAATACGTTAAATGCTGGTGAGCACACCACTCAAGAGGCTGAGGCAGGATTACGGCAAGGTTAGGCTAGGCTACATAGTGAGTTCAAGAAAACTGGTCTGAACATCAACTCTCTCTCTCTGTATATGTGTGTGTGTGTGTGTGTGTGTGTGTGTGTGTATAGGGGGTGTATACACACACATATATATGACATGTTACTTCAATGAATGAAAACTTGAATGCAAATAACAAAAGACAATAGGGAAGACCATCCCCCACATGCATGTGTGCAATTACATAGGTCGTAAGTTACAGTGATAGCTAATAATGGCACTTTATTAGCAACCAGCAGTAGTGGCATTGGTGACTCAATTTTCCAAACCAGCAAAGTCCTCATAAAGCATGGAACAAAACAAGGTACAATTTTAATTTACGTGGAAATGTATTCCTACAAAATTCAAGTCTTTTTCAAAATGCAGTTTTATGCTTACATGTAAAAACGATCATTCCTGGCTCAAACAGTATTTTCACATACATAAGCAGCTAGTCATTCAAATTTATCCTGAGAATTCTTCACAGTTAGGGAGGCCTTGAGTATTTCAGGATGACTGGCAGCTGGCCCATGCTCAATAAATGCCAGTAGCATCCACCCCCCAAAAAAATCCTTGCTATAGCCAAAAATGGCCTACATATCTTGAAAATGTCCTCTAGGGGGCAATAACACCCCTGCTGTGGATGATCAGCGTCCAGTGGAAACAGCCTTGTCTGTTCTTGCACTAAAGCCTTGGCTTCTGTGTTTTTCTTAAACAATGCAGCCACCGCCATGGGCCAGCCTGGTGAACAGGTCAGCAGAGAGGTATCCTCTGGGCTGTGCTCAAGGAGTTTCAGAGTGCTCTTCTGAGTATGTGGCTTGACCTCACAGAAAACACAACAAACAAGGCCCAACCCCAGGTATAGAAACGACGCCATTTGTGTCTTGCAGCAACCCAAGCTGAGCAGTGCCAGGGCCCCAAGGTGCTGGGAATAGGGCCAAGGGGAAGTATGAAATGGGAGACTATGACCATTGAACAACTGGGAAGTTCTAAGATGGGGTTCAGAGAAAAGGCTTACAAGAGGACAGGATGAGAAAGTGGAAAGACTCAGAAGGCAGATGTGAGAAGGAAAGATCAAGGGCCGCCACAAGAAGGAAAAGTCGAGGCCATGCAACTGAAACTGTTTATTGAAATCTTAGTTCTACAAAAGCATGAAAAACTCAGATACAAAGCGGTGGCCAGAAAGGCCTTTGAAGAGAACACCCAAAGAGGAACCAGAAGAGAGGGAAGCCTTGGAGCAGGATTCTAAGGTTGGAAGACAAAAGGTCAAAGTCAAAAGTCCTAGCAGTCAGTGATTGGTTCCATTAGACTATAAGCAAGGGGCAGGTGTAGAAAAGCTTTCCCACCTCACCCACTTTCCCTCCCAACCCAGCCCTGTCAGTCCCTGGTTCTCCTGCCTCAGAGACATGACACAGGACAGCATTGATACGGGTTTCCTTCCTCTCTTTACCCTACTACTCCCATCTTCTACTTTTACCCTTCCATTCTAGGAAACTCAAAAGCAAAAGTCTTAAAGAGCCCCACAGAAACAGGGATGGGGCTTCTCTTGTCATCTGTGACCTGTCCCTTGCACCCAGTGAAGCTTCCCCTGGCACTATCACTCCCCTGGCCATGCAGCCAGCCCCTGAGGTCTAGGAGAGTGAATGTCTTTCTGCCCCACAACCCCTTAAGTGCTTACCCAGGAGGACAGGGGACCAGCCAAGGACCCAGAGAGACAGCATGGATCTAAATCAAGCTTTCCTCTTCCAGGTTCTCAGAGACTCCCAAATCCTCTGACTGCATACCTTGGAAACCTACCTAGCCTGGGAAAATGAAAGACTTGATGCGGGCCAGCTCCATCACGCTAAAAAGAGAACACTGTTGGGGCTGGGGGAGCAGAGGGGCCATCCGGCTCCAGGGCCAGGGTGGAGCCAGGCCATGAGTGTGGTACCTGGGGCTGGGAGGCCCAGTGGGTACTGAATAGTTGGGGTGGTGGCAGGCATGACAGGTTGGGGGGTCTTTCTGGAGCTTTTGACAAAGGGGGCAGTTATGCAGAAGAGGGAGAAGGGAAGGGGGGTCTGGAGGAGGCAATGATGGGGGACTCAGTGAGGCCAGAAGACTGTCCCAGAGTGAACGCAGCCCTGCGTCAGATTCCACACAGCTGGAGACGTTAGCAGACAGCAGGCGCTGTGGCACTGGAGAAGGAATGCAGGGCTCCAAAAGGCCTTTAGGGGCCAAGTCAACGTCAGGAGGACCAGGTGAGGGACTGCAGGGCAGCCCTAAGGACTGGTGTATCACAGCCACCGATGCCACAGAGAGGGCCACGCTGCTCACGTATGCCATGGCTAACAGGCAGGACAGCTGCAGGAGAGAAAGTAAGCAAGCAGTAGGCTGTTAACTCACTTTAGCACACACATTCCTCATCTCTCAAAACCTGTGCTCAAGTTGGAGCTCTCTGTTGCCCCATGCCTTCCCCACCCATCTGCTCCCAAGTTCCATGTCCTCAGTCTTGCAGAATCCACTTTACAACCTCCTACCCCACATATCAGCTGACTCAAGCCCTCTTTCCCAACACCTCCTCACCTTTACCAGTCGCTGGCAGAGGGAGCCCAAGGCCAGCTGCCAGGCTGGCTGCTCCAGCAGCACACATAAGTCTGTGTAGGTATACCATCCCCGCCGCCGTCCCTGCTGCTCAGCCACACTGCGGGGGGTGGGGGGGCAGAGTCTGTAGTGCTCCTGCTGCCAGCTCATTGGTACCCCACACCTCCCAGCACCCCACTGGGGAACTTGAAGTGTCCAAGTGCCTAGGCTGCCTGCTGCTCCAAAGAGGCTGAAACCAACATCTATATGTTAAATAAACTGCTCCTACCTTCCCAAAGGAGAACAGATGGGTTTGGGAACCACTACCTTGAGTAATTTTCTTTCTTGTCTCCTCCCTTCCACCAATTACACAGGACCTTATCCCTGCTCCTATAATCTAGGCCTCAGCCTCTAAGTTCCTAGAGCTCTTTTTTCTTGATTCCTAGAACATACCAGCTCTCCAGCCAACTCAGCACCTCGAAGATCTCCCCAGGGTCAGTGTAGAGACGCCAATCCTGTAGAAAAGAGGGAAGAGTACCAAACCCAACTCAGATGTGTGCCACAGTCACCTGAGAACAGTTGCCACACAAGCAGTGACAACCACCACCATGGCTGATACCTGGCACTTGCTACATGCTAGGTACTAACCAAAGACCTTTTGTGTACTCAGTCTAATAATTAGCACCTACCTGGTTTCTTACCATACTCTCCATCAGGGCAAGAAGAGAAATCAATCCTGAGAATGGCCCATGCCCAAAAAGAGCACAGAGCATAGGGGTAGAAAAAATTCAGCAGGAAATACTCTGAGCGTGACATGATGGGACCTGACTCAGGGTGCCCTATGAAACCCTGTGGGAGCACAGAAGAGAAAATGCTCCACTCCTGGCCTCACCTCCTGGCAGTCCTGACAGGATAGAAAGGAAAGCCACTAACAAAAACGCATAGAAAGACAGAAAGAAAAGGAAATGAAATAACAAGAAAGCTGAGAGAGAATGATAAAAGGAAGGTAAGGATGAACTGGTGAAACAGAACAAAAGAGAAGAGCTACTCACCATGGCACTCAGGAAGCCCCTCTCCAAGGCATTGAGAGTGGGCACAGCCACACCCCCAGCCGCTCCCCACTCATCATTGAAGACCTCCTCCTCCTCCCCTTCGTCGTAGAGGTACTTGCTGGCCACCATCTACGTAGGAACCAAAAATGGCACTGGTAGAGCTCATCTGAGGCTCCTGGCTCACCAGGAAGATGAAGGGGAGGGGCTGCCTTACCATGGAGATCAGGAACAAGTCAGAAGATGACACATGCTGCAGATAATCTGGGTTTCGATGCCGGAGCCGCTCAATGTATACCAGAGCTAGCATCATAGCACATGGGGAAATGCATGCCTCCCTGGGAGGTAGAAAGGACCCATAATTAAACCTGAGAGTCCTTTAGTTTTCACAGCTCTTGCAGTGTTCATCTTGTTTGTGTTTTCTTGGTGTTTCTATTGTATGTTTGTGATACAAAATGAATACATGTATCAAATGTAGATACATGTATCAAGTCTTAGTCCTTTTCACTTCCCCTCCCTTCTCTCCCTTTGTCTTCTTTTTAGAGACAACCAGTCCTCCCCACTCTAAGGGCCACTCTCATCCTATCCCCTCAATTTCAGGCTCACCGGGACACATGAGCCACATATTTCTTCTGGAGCCGACGAATAGGGCTAGGGGCTGCCTTCTGGAGTAGTTCCACAGCAATGTCTGCAAAGTCAGGCAAGCAAAGTGAACCAACTCCCCCCAATCCCCAAGAACTCCCAGTGCTATCATCAAGGACTGAAGTCTGATCATCTAAAGACAGAACCAGGCCAGCAAGATAGCTCAGCAGACTAAGCACCTGCTTTGGCAAGCGCAGGGACCAGGGTTCAATCCCCACCCCACATTCCAACAGGGTCCCGGCATGGTGGCGCATGCCTGTGATCCCAGTGCTGGGGAGGCTGAAAACAAGAGGATCACTACAAGTCCAAACCGTGTAGAGAGGCCTTGTACCAAATGCATAGAAAAATGAAGAAAATAAATAAAGACAGAGCCACAGTAATAAAACAGACATCAAATCCTCCCAAGCAAAGACAAAAGCCTATTCCAAGTTTGAATATCAGCTCCTTCCAGCAGAAGCTTGTCCCTTGAAAGTATCCACATTTGTCTTTTACTGATGTCCCTCTCAGAAATAAACATGCATTGTTTACTTGAAAATCATACAGTGAGTGTCCTTAGAAAATTAATTTTCTGGAATACCAATTAAAACAAGGGGGTGCGGGAGATAGCTCAGTAGAATAAGTGCTTGCCTGGCAAGTGCAATGGCCTGGATTCAATCTCTGGTTCCGCAAAAAAGTAAAATAAAAATAAAACAAGGGGCTAGAGATAAAACTCAGTGGTGGGATACTTGTCTTGTTTGTATCAGGCCCTGGGTTCAACCCCTAGCACCACAAAAACAAAAAATTCTCATATCAGTTCATGAGGTATTTGCTCATGAGAGCTAACAGAATGTGAAACACAACCCACATTCTTGAACCAACTACCAGTAAGCTAGCTATGAAGAGGCAACACAGCCCAGAAGGTACGCCTGGAGGCACATGGTTGACTGTGGACAATCCCATTCTTAAGCCTCTCACTTGCCCACTCACACACTTGCCTAACCTGCCACAGGGCTGGAGAGCTCTTCCAGGCTGCAGTCTGCCTCCCAGTCCCAGCCATAGTACAGTCGCCTACGGATCCGAGCACTCAGCTTCTGGTGTCCTGGGAGGAACTGAAACAGGGCAGAAAGGCGGTGGAGGGTGAAGGGCAGGAAAGGGTATGATGGAGTCAGGCTCCTGGCTGGATGGTTGCGGCTGTTTAGCTGCCAGGGGCCCAAGCCCCACCCAGCTCCGAGTTCTCCAGATTGTTTGCCAACGGCAGGTTGGTCTATGTGGGGAAGATATGTCGTTCCCACTGAAGGCTTCCCGGACAGGGTCTCCAAAAAGAGCCCCCAGTATTGCCATCCCTCTTTCCCTCCCTCTCTCCACCCCGCGGTTCTGCTTCAGGGCCCATGCAGCCGGGGCCTCAAGTAGTCACTGTTCCAGCATCTGCCACCCAGGCCTGGGAAACACCATCAAGTAAGCCGGATACCTTGCAAGGGCTGGGAGTGGAGCGGCCAGGGCCAGGCACCAAAGGCCTGGAGGCTAGGGAGGGAGGCGGGCTGCGAGCTCACCGAGAAGTCTTGGAAGCCAGTGAGGGAGAAGGTGCCTTCTTCGTCCAGTAGGAGCCCAGCCAGGTCCATCGCGCTACCAGCCACCGCCCTGCGAAGGTGGGGGTGGAGAAAGGAGTTGTAAGGGCTCGCCCTCCGGTCCACCTGCCCGCCTGCCCCCCGCCGCTGGCCACCGCCCTCGCAGCCCCCTCCCCTCGCGCCGGCAGCGGCAGGCGGGGCGGGCAGGCGCCTCTTCCTGTTCCGCCCAGGGCGCCCTGGCGCCGGGCGCACCTCGCGAAGTGAGGCCCCGGCAGCCAGGCTCGTACTCTGCCCGCGCCGCGTCCGCCCCGCTTTTACAAGCCGCGAGCGTGTGGCCGGCGACTCAGCGCCCGACAGGAAGTGTCCCCCGCCCTCTCCGGGCTCGGGAAGGGCGGCCTCGAACTTCTGCCCTCACGAGTCACCTGAGCCGAGCGAGCCCCAAGGGCCCTGGTCTGAGAAACGGACGCGGCTCCTAGGGGCACTCGTTGCACTGGGCGTGCGCGAGCCAGACGGCCCTTGTCGAGTCTGTATAGATGTTAATGTGAATAAAGGGAGTACAGCGAATTACTCCTAGTTTTTTTTTAAAGGGACATGTACAGTTAGCAGTTAACATAAATAAGGTGTCCGAAAGAATCCACACGAAATCTACCCGTGGAAAAACAGTGAGCCGAGTGAAAGGCAAACTTGGTTGTTTTTTTTTTTTTTTTTTTTGGAGCTTGGCATTCAAAATCACATTCAGGACACATGCTGTGTTGGCCACTGAAACAAGTAAATGACCACAAGTGAATTCGAAGCCGCCAAACAAATTTACCACGTCCCCTGTATCATGAAAATTCGTTTTACGCAAGGGGTCACTGTGTAGCTCAGGCGGACCTCGAGCTCACCAGGATGCTTCTAAACCTACGATTACCGTGTGCTACCATGCCGGGCTCCCAGAGAAAACATTTAAACTTGGTTTTATCTTCAAACCCACTTCCAGCCTCCGACCTCACGTTGGACAATGGGGGAACAAGGAGCGCTGGTGCGTGGAGGCGCGAAGGAGAAGCCTCAAAAAAGGGAAGAAGCAATTTTCCTATGAGGATGAAGCTGTTTTCGAGTCTGTCAGTCACGCGCGCTGGTGTTTTGTTTATACGCTGAGGTGAGGGAGCTGGGCGGACCCGTGTGTCAGGGTTGAGTAACGCGACGGCCGCCGCCCCCTCCGAGCAGCTGTAGGTCCTACCCCGGGATCCCGGAAGGCCACTTCCTGCCCCTTACGGTGGCGGTCACACCGGGGTCACCCGCCAGCAGGGGCTCCGTACCTGCCCTAACATAAGCACTGGGAGAAAAGTGGCCGCACGCCCCAGACCTGGCTCCAAGTCACAACTCCAGCAAGCCAAAACACGCACCTGAGTAGGTGCGGAGGTCACGCGGCGTTCCAGGCGCACGCGCGAGCCGCCCATCCGGGCTGTTAGGCCGCGTCACGTGATCGGCTCGGCCCTGTCTGTCACGTGACGCGCAGCCGCAGCCTCGGCACTCCTCGGCGTGCGCCCCCTTCCGCCTGACGCGCCCCCGGCGGCGGCCGCGCAGCCCCGGCTCCTTGCGGGCTCGGGCGGCGGCTGCGGCGGGGCTATGGCGAGCAGCGGTGGTAACACCGGCGCGAGTGGGGGTGCGGGGCTGGGCCTGGGGCTCGGCCTGAGCCTCGGCATGGGTGAGACCGCCGGCGAGGCGGAAGACGAGGCAGCCACGGCCGAGGCGGTGGGCCGCCTGGCCACGGCGCTGTGGCTGCGGCTCCGCGGTTGGGAGGCAGTGCTGGCGGCAGCGCAGCGGCTGCTGGTGTGGGAGAAGCCGCTGCATAGCCTGGTCACGGCGGCCGCGATCAACGGCCTCTTCTGGTAACGGCCGCGGAGGAGGGGGCGGGGCCGGGCTGCGCGGGGAGAGCGGGGGCGGACGGTGCGGGGCGCGCGGGTCCCTTCCTGGGTTATCACTTGGCCTGCGAGAATGATCCATCCACTAGCATATGACGTACACCCAGGTTACCCTATTACTCTACTTCGGCGAGGAAAGTTAGGCCTGGAGCTGCTCTTCCCTCACCGATGAGCGCTTTTGCCTCGCACCCACTTTCCACTGAGATTCGTGTCTCTCTCTAAGGCTGCTGTCTTCATCGTCTTTCCGACCAATCTTCCTTCTCAGCGTCTCGATTTTGGCCTATTTTCTTCTGGATCTGTGGCACCCTCGCTTCCTCCCTGATGTCTCAGGTGAGTCTTTCATTTGGCAAGCACCCTTGTGCTCCTAGTGCCTGATCTCAGTAAGTGGAGTTGAGCAGTGAGGGGAATGTACAGCAGACCGCTTGCTTCCAGGCCCACTTCCCACCCCATCACCCTGTTTTAAGAAATTGTCTAAAACGAGAATACATTTCCCAAATTGAATGCTCATGTGTCAGTTGGGCAAGACTGAAGAGTCTTCATCCAGATTGCATGGGTTCCATGCCTTGCTGTGTGATGCTTTCCATGTGCGTGTGTGTGTGTGTGTGTGACAGAAACAGAGTGAGAGATCTTGTGAACAGTCTATATCAGGTTTTTTAGCTGTAAAAGGGATGGAAAGGTAGTTCGTGGAGATGTGAAGGTTACATATGTCAACACGTTAGGCAGTTATGTTACTGCTGTCTTGATCGTGATGAGAGTTATACAAATATTCAGTGTTTGTTTCCAGTGTATTAATGTGCATTTTGGAGCAACTGGGTGTAAGGCTGAATTTCTTGGGAAACAGACTAGGGGCTGGGGAGACAGCTCAGTAGCATGTGCACCTATCTGGAAAGTCAAGTCCTGAGTTTGATCCCCAGTAAAAAAAAAAAAAAAAAAAAAAAAAAAAAATTGACCAGCAGGCTGGGTATAGTAATGAATGCATGTAATCCTAGCTCTTAGGGAGGCTGAGGCAGGAGGATTGCAGGTTTGAGGCCAGGCTAGCCAAGTCAGAAAGATTCTGTCTCAAAATTTTTTAAAAGTCTGATTCTTGGGCCAGGGAGATGGCTCAGTAGAATAAGCACTTCACTGGCAAGCACAAGGGCCTAAGTTCAATCCCTGGTTCTGCCAAAAAAAAGAACCCAAAAAAGTCCAATTCTTTGGGTTTAGTTTGCAGTACTGGAGGGGAAAAAAGGAAACATACACAAACAACATGTACAAGTCCAGTTGGTGTCTGAAGAAAGTATTGTATGACTGCAGAGGAGCAGCAACTATTTCTGCCCTGGGCATATCTCCCAGTACCCCTCTCTCAATAATTTGTTTTTCTCCTTTCTCTGTAGCATCATCCCCTGAGGAGCCGCACTCTGACAGGTGAGTATCAGCCCTCTCTTGAAAACGGATGCCCAAATACAGTTTTGCAGACTGTGCAATTTCAGCAGAGAGGAGCAATAATACAGCTTCTTTAGGCACAGGTCCCAGCTTAGTGAGGGGACTGGCCACAAGCCAGAGAGGTTTTTTGGTCCTAGGTGCCTATGTAGGTATTTATGTGCCCTTCTTTTGAGGCAGATGGTTGGGTGCCCTGGGCTTTTGCTTTGCAGGACCAGGATGCCTTCCTTTGGGAGGTGAAGTTTTCTATTTTAGACTCATGATCAGCAATCTCAGAGGAATTTGAGTGCCTAGGAAGCTGGTGTCTTGAGGCCTCCAGGGGTCATGTCGTGTCTCCCCAGTGAGGGTGCGGGGTCAGGCGCCCGGCCGCACCTGCTGAGTGTGCCCGAGTTGTGCAGATACCTGGCTGAGAGCTGGCTCACCTTCCAGATTCACCTGCAAGAGCTGCTGCAGTACAAGAGGCAGAATCCAGCTCAGGTAAGCTCACCATGTCCCACAGCAGATCCTGAAGCCACAGTTCCTGGAGGGTTGGAAGGAGCAGTATTGTGATCAGGGTGTACAGCACACTTCTTGTATTAGAAGTGTGGGGCATCTTCTTGATTAGACTAAATTTCTAGGGGAAATGTCTGTGTTTTAAAAGTTGAGCAGTTTTTTTTTACTTCTTCTGCTCTTTTCTGCAGTTCTGTGCTCGAGTCTGCTCTGGGTGTGCTGTGCTGGCAGTGCTGGGACACTATGTTCCAGGGATTATGATTTCCTACATTGTCTGTGAGTAGAGTCTAGTCCTGCACTTCCCATACCTCTTTGCTTTTCCTGTTTCCTGGACTGACCTGGAGGGAGGACTATGTTTTGTCTGCACAGTTACACCTTGTGGAGATCTCCAGGGCTTCTGAAGTACACCCTTGCTAATACTAGAAAAATCAGCCCGGGGAGAAAAGTAGATATAGGGGGAGGAAACAGTAGCACTGCCTTGGAAAAGGAATGTAGCCCTTCTTCTTTAGGGGCCAGTTGAATGAGGACTCTTAGAAAATTCGTACAGGGAGCTCTAAGCAGATTTTCTAACCCACAGTGCTGAGTATCCTGCTGTGGCCCCTGGTGGTTTATCATGAGCTGATTCAGAGGATGTACACGCGCCTCGAGCCCTTGCTCATGCAGCTGGACTACAGCATGAAGGCGGAAGCTGATGCCCTGCATCACAAACATGACAAGAGGAGTAAGGGTCTCTATTAACATGAAAGGGAAAGTGAGGGAGGCCTTTGGCTTACTGCTTATGACTTGCCCTGGGGTTTAGGTAATCTCCTGTTCTTTAGCCATGTCTTTGTTTGGTCACTGCCTTATTGCTCTTCTCTAGAGCGGCAAGGGAAAAGTGCACCCCCAGGAGGTGATGAGCCACTGGCAGAGACAGAGAGTGAAAGTGAGGCAGAGCTGGCTGGCTTCTCCCCAGTGGTGAGGTTCAGGGGAAATGGGGGTGACAAGTGGGGTTGGGCATGTATATCTGTTTTAGAGCTGTTTCCTTTCAAAGGAGTAGAGCTAGATGGTGGAACTAGGTTACTGTAATCGGTTCTCCTGCAGGTGGATGTGAAGAAAACAGCACTAGCCTTGGCCATTACTGACTCAGAGTTGTCAGATGAAGAAGCTTCTATCTTGGAGAGTGGTGGTTTCTCTGTATCTCGGGCCACAACTCCACAATTGACAGATGTCTCTGAGGGTATGGGGAATTCTTCACCCCTCCTGGTCTCTCTATTCCCTGTTGGTGGGGTGTGCTAGTTGTGCTTTCTGGCTCCCATTTCCTCTGGGAAACTGACCTATCCGCAAAGCTTGGTACATCTTAAATTCTCATCTGTGAACTCATCGGCTGTTGTGGGGCATCAGAGCAGCAGGCCCATTCCTAACTTTGTCCTCTCTGTAGATTTGGACCAGCAGAGCCTACCAAGTGAGCCAGAAGAGGCCCTGGGCCGGGAGCTGGCGGAGGCAGAAGAGGCAGAGCTTGCACCCCCTGACCCTGAAGATCTGCTAGGCCCTCCTCAGGCCCTCTCAAGGCAGATCTTGGACTCAGAGGAGGAAGAGGAAGATGTGGCAGCCAAGGAAACTTTGCTTCAGCTCTCATCTCCTCTGCACTTTGTGAACACACACTTCAATGGGGCAGGGACACCCCAGGATGGAGTGAAGTGCTCCCCTGGAGGACCAGTGGAGACACTGAGCCCAGAGGCAGTGAGCAGTGACCTCATGGGTCCACCCAGCACCCTGACAGCCCCATTTTGCCATGCCGAAAGTGACCCAGTTCCCTTCCCTTCCCTTTCTGTGTCCCCACCTATTCCCCAGGACTTGCCCCAGCCCCTGCCTGTCCCTGAGGAAGAAGAGGCACTCACCACTGAGGACTTTGAGTTGCTGGATCAGGGGGAGCTGGAGCAGCTGAATGCAGAGCTGGGCTTGGGACCAGAGACACCCCCAAAACCACCTGATGCTCCAACCCCTCTTCCCCTGGGGCCAGACACTCATTCCCTGGTACAACCAGACCAAGAGGCCAGGGCTGTGGTGGAGCCATGAGCCATGAGAAGGAACTGCAGGCAGAGTAAGGCTTTCTAGCTAGAGCAGCCACTGTCTCCCTTCCCTACCACTGTGGGGAGGGGCACAGGTGGGGAGGCCAGCTGTCAAGACAGTAGCCAGCTCACCCTCTGCCTGCTTTCCTGGGCCTGGTGCAGTACCTCTGCCTAGGACCAGTTTTGAGTTTGTAAATAATTTT